GCACACCCTTAATTCCCCATTTTTTTGTGCCCCTATTCCAAAGGATAGCAATGGATGTTTTTCTGAAGATGTTCTCAGGTTCATGTTTTTTGTGGATTGTTTTCTTTTTATTTTTTGGGGAGTAGTACATTCCTCCCCAGAAAGTTACCACACTATATTGGACAGACAGAGCTAAGATTCCCAAATTGGTGCAAAGGAACAAGACCTCTCAGAAGTCCCCTCATCTGAGACACAGTTCCCATCATGTCATCTCCCAACAATGCTATGTCAACAGGTACCTGAAAGCAGCTCTTTATACCTCATTAGTCCAAGACACTGAAAGAATTTTCAAAGATTACTGTAGTCCACAGATTAAAGTAGGAAACTACAGACAGAACACAATAATAGAATAGAATAACCAAGAAGCTGGGTGATATCATACTTTCACAAGGGTGATTCGGTTTGCATTTTATTGTATTTCAGCCATTAACTGCACAATGTACTAAAAAGCAACTGTTAAAATTAAAAACAAAACAAAACAAAAAGACAAAAAAAAAAACCACTACATTTTGAATTTGCAGGACCAAGTAACTCTAGCATGAGATCTTAAGAGGACTTTCTGAAACTGCTAGGAAACTGGGAATTTCTTAAGCACTTTAGGGAAAGGATGAACTTATTGATATTTTAAGAGAACAGGAAAATTGATTCAGTCAAATGTAATTTCATGAAAATATGATGAAAAGAAGCTGAATCTGACAAAATAATTACAACCTGAATTATCTGCATGTTTTTAATTAGCAAAATCCAAGTGAGGTATTTCTGAGAGTCTTCCAGAGTCCATACCTATTCTTAGCCAGATTTTGTTCCTCATCACTACTGATGGTGTGGGAGAAAATGCAAAATGTCCTGCACTAAAATCTGAACATACCTTTCTAAAGTGCTATTTGCTAGAAGTATCACAGACTAAGAAAAACAAAAATCATTGATGAATAATCAGTGTAATAAAATTTAAAAGAAAAGCTTATGAAAGCTAGACAGTTAAACATAGTATTGATAAGTAGAACTATTATAATAAATAAAACATCAAACAACAAAGGAACTGTAAAGATGTACTTCAAATACATATGGAGGAAATGTAAAGTCTGATACTTCAGACACTTAAAAGGAACAAGGATGAAAGTTGACAGGTGTTTTGTATTAATATTAGTAAGTGCTCAAATCAGGTCTTTGCCTTCAAAATGGAAGCTGATTACCAACACGTGAAGTTTGAATATAATTTGCTAGAGGGAAGTAGTATTGTAAAGGCACAAAGGCAAGTAACTGAACTTGCTTGCTGAGTTCAACACAGATGTGATGATGTGATTTTAACTTTTGCAAACTGCAAGTGCAGTGACATATTTTTATAAATAATGCACTTGAATCTGCAGTGTATAAAGTAGATCAGTAGAAAAAGAGGCATTTCTAGGTTCTTGTCTGATTCTCAGACAACACCTTGTTATATACTATCTTGCATGAAAACATACCAAACAATAAGTTATGTCCTTCCTCTATGTTGTATTGCTTCAAAGTCCGGTTCCTAGAAGGGCAACTAATCAAATTATTTCACAGGGGAAAATGTAATGTTGAGAGTTTTACCTGCAAACTGGAGACATCACCTGTAATTCTGACTATAAAATCCTCAGCACATCAAAAATCAATGCCAAAAATAGCAAGGGTTCCTTTTTTCTACAGTAGCCTTCAGGAGATGTTTTGTTGTCATTTTTAGCAGTTACAACTAATATTGTAGAGCTAATCCAAAAGGAATTATAAAATGATTGTAGAAAAGCTGGATTTTCTCCAGTTCTACAGAACAGTTAAAACTGATCAACTCTCTTGAAAGATCTGGCACATAGAAGTCCAGCATTTTAATTCTTTGTTTTCTGTTACCCTTTTTTTACTGGGAACTCTTCAATGAAAAATTGGTCCAACAATTCAGTTGACAGCCTTTCTTTTCTACTATCTGAGAACTAAACCAAATATTTTTTAAGGATTTGCAATACGCACTGTAAGTAGCTGTTATCAATAAAATAAAAATATTACAATTCATTCAAAATGTGTTTCCTTTACAATTTAGATGAGTTTTCTAAGCACTCATGCCGTTTCTTATCTTCCATAATGAGGAAACCAATGAAATGAAACAATATATTCCCGTTGTTTTATAAATCATATGTCAAGACTCCTTAAATTCTGAGCCTAGAAGTTTACCCACCATGAAGTTTAACAACATATGAATTTTCAAGTACTACAAATAGGAATTGCAAAAGAAAATGTAATTATGTACATAGACAAGATCTTTCACAGTCATGAGTGACTAAAGATCTTTTTGACTTCTCTGAATCTCTTTTTTTTTTTTTTTTTTTGCTTTTAGATCAGGGTCTGCTTTTCTCATTTTACTGGTGAGTTTACTATCCATAGTTTGATCTAGCCACCATTATTTGTAAATTATTCTTTTTTATTACTATATGTGAAAAAAGAAAAAAAAAATGATTTGAAACAATTATTGGAAAGCTAAAAATGAATGAATCTAACACTGCTGTTACCTCAGATGATAGGATTTTATTATTAGAGGAAGTATTTGCTTTTCTCCCCTTGGAATTGGCTTGGTTTAAAACTTGGATTTTTGTTCAAGAGCTTCTTGATTAATATACTGGAACTAATCCGTTCCAGTAGAGACCCATCAGAATCTTCACAGCAAATGCATGGGGCCAATAAAGGGAACAAAGTTTCTAAATTTTGGACTCAGGGAAGTCTGAAGTTCTAAACCGTTTTTACTGGACTCAGGCCTTAGTGGATACACTTGCAGTAGGAAGAAATTTTATTTTTTTGGTAATGCCCATTGTGTGTTCTAGTATATAAGTATTTATTTAACAGTGTGGGTGTTGTACCTAACAAATAGCAAATGCCTGTGCAAGGATCACAGTGTGTATCTAACTGTCTTGGCAGTGACTTAAAAGTTTCCCTCAGAAGTTTTCTTTCACTTCTATCCAGAGCAGCTTATTATCTCATACTGAGAAAACGGTGTTTGCATTTTCAACAAAAATTTTATTTGATCTCCCATGCACACAGTCCTTCAGATGACTGCAGGTTGATAACTTTACTGCTATCTCTAGAGTTTGACTAGATTATTTGTTCAAAAAAAAAAAAAAAAAAAAACAACTAAAAAAAAGAAAACAAAAAGTATTTCTCCTATCTCCTTTTTCTAGCTTCTGACCCTGGTCTGTCTGTCCTGCCCATCCTAATAAAACCATGAAGTAAATTATTTCACTGCTTCGTCTAGATCTGTTTGGCTGCCTGACCTTTCTCAAATTTCTCCAAGACTGCAGAACACACTGCAATTTCTCTGCAGCAGAGCTTCAAGTCTATTCTTGCAAATCTGTTACATTCTTCACATCAGTCCATAGCCCAGACATCTCATTTTGATTTTTTTTTTTTCCTACATTTATTACTTCAGCTGCCAGTAGGCTACTGTAATCAAATTTTGGCAAGCTACTTTGCCATAGGCACACTGAACCCAATTCTTCTGTCTGTCTATTGCCCATCACTACACTGATAGACAAAACCAAGGGAGAAACAGAACAACGGGAAGTAACTAAGTCTCTCCAGGCTTTGCTAACTACCCAGTAGAATACAATTTGTGTGTACACGAGAGCAAAACCCACACTCTGAGTGTATAACTTTAATGTGGCCCAAGAGTCAGTAGGTTATCTTCAGCCAGAGCCCTGCAAGTAACAAGCCCATGCCTGGCTTGCCTGTACCACTCATTTTTTTAACCCATGCTAGAAACATAACCAAGTTTGTTTGTTTGTTTGTTTTTGTTTGTTTGTTTTTTTAAAGGCACTTTTCGGGCAAAACAGTCAATCTTTCTTCGGGACAGAGTTGCTTGCTTTGACAGCTATGTTGATCATATAATTTACATTATGCTTTAATGGTACAGACCAGTTTAAACTTCATCTTCCAGTTGCACTCTGAGAGTGAGAGCAGGATACGAGTCCTCCTCACTGTGCTCCCACCTGGCAACAAATGCCAAGACTCCTAATGCCTCCCCCAACTCAATACTTTGCAGGATAAAAGCCTGTGCATTTGTTCTAAAACCTTCATACTTTTATTAGTACCATATTTTTTTCATTGCTGACCTCTTGAATGTTGTCATTCCTTGTTGGCAACAATACTTTGTCTAAGCATTGTCATGAGTCAGCAAAAATTATAAGCAAGCAAAATAATATTCTATCTTAGCTACTATCATGAGAAGATGTGAGGAGCAGAGATTTGTCATATGCCCTTGTGACCTTCAACTCAAATGAGATTATTTCCTGATTTTCTTAACCTCCTTTTTCAGTGAAAGCAGGAGTTAATATCACTTGCTAGCAAAGTGCTACACCGGAATTGCTTCTAGAGTTATTCCAATTCCAATATGGCTTTTGCTTAACAATCACTATCTACAAAAATAAATGATGGTGTTTTCCTTTCAATTGCTTTATTAAGAGACAAGTTTAGGAATCCTACTGAGGACTGATTTTTAACAAGGACTGTTGCAAATTTAAAAAGCATTGTTAATTCAATCTGATAATGACAAAACCTTTTGTTCTTCTAAAACTGATAATTTTCCTTGCAGAAGCCTTTAAAGGACTAAAACATTATGATATTAATTCACTTTTCCTGAAGCAAGCTCTTCAAATTAAAGTTCTCATTTGAGTAAATCCCAAAAAATAACAACAAAAAAAAAAACAGCTGAAATTATTTGCTGTAGCAAAATTCAAGGCTTTTAAAAACAGAAATCATACAATTTGCTTAGTTCCATTAGAATTTATGTGGAAAAAAACCCAAAAAACAAATAAACAAAAAAAAAAAACAAAACAGAAGATGTTAAAGGGATGATTGTATCAGTATTTTTATATAATCCTTTTCCTAAGGTAATGGAAGATTTTCTCATAACATATGTTCTAATTTAAAAAAAATCTTATCAATAATAAGAGATTGAGATTATTCCTTACCCTGAAAGGGCCACATGAACAAACTTGTTCCATCAGCTGGTATAGAAGATAAAGGCAGCATCCACTCTCAAAGAATAAGTTTCAGTATATACGCACTCCCATAGCATATTTTGTGTTCAAACTTTGCAAGGTGCATGTTTGCAGTCAAGCAAGAGTTAACGCCCTGCATACATTTGAGACAGCCTTCGGAGTCACACTGGTGATGGTTAATCCGGTCACTGAAAGACTGTAGCTGAAGCCCAGTCCACTTACATCTGGGTCTGCCTGAATTATGGATCTCCCTCCTTGTGCAAAAGCTCCATGCTTGCCCGAGCTAGTGGTTCCTTCTCCTAATCCCCTTTCCTCAGGGATTTCTCCAGCTGAGACTGCAAGAGAAAGGTTGAATATCAGAGAGGCAGGGAACAAAGTGCTGGGTATAAAACTCAGACTGCCAAAGCCTGATAAGGTCAGCTCTGCAGGGTCCCACATTTATGGGGGAAAAAAGATGGGATGAAAAGTGAATAATTGAGTCTGAATTTTTGGGCTGAGCTCAGTGAAGAGGAGATGGAAGATGGAACAATATGACAGAGGCAGAATGCTCTTCAAAGGTTAAAAAAAAAGTAAGGCAGGAAAGTTTTAAAGGTAAATTTAGTTCTTCTCCCCCGCTGTCAGGACAATGATTTGTATAAGAGCTACAAGAAAGTTTAAGATCACTGCAGAAGAAAAGGATAATTGTAAGTCAAAAGAGAGATTGTGAAACAAAAATGTAAATCAAACAGAATCTTGTTTTCTATTAACATTTATATTTACATTAGCATATATGCTATGTTTTACATCCTTTTCTTATTATTTCCTATCCCAAAAGGTATAATTTATAAGAAACTGTTTGCCAGATGCAGTCTGATATGAGTTGCACACAAAAAGCTCTAGAGATGAATCATCCTTCTGCTACATTATCTATAGTCTTGTGTATATCCTTAAGACTTTTTTGTTGACCAAATTCTGATAAATAAAAATGGTGACCTCGGAAAACTTTTCTTTTCCTCTTCCTACATTTTTATATGACAGTGGGGGAAAGACTTCCCTATTACACATTTAGAAGCACTTTTGATGTGTTTGAATCACCTGAAACAAAAGCTGTGGTTCTGTTTGAATCCTATGTAGTGGTACATAATAAGAACATTTCTGAAGCTCAATAGAGACAAATACATTAACTATTGCAGCCACTATGTCTTATTAGTGTCTTCATTCATTCATTGTGCATGCACACTTGGACTTTTTTAATAAGGTAACAACATGAGCATCTCAGAAAAATGGGCATCGTTGGTCCCTTAGGAAGGGCATATTCCTTTCTTACATAAGAGCCCAACATTTCATGTGCCCTCAAAGATTACTATTCACATACAAATTTTCAAATTCAAACATGAAAGTTCACCTTTTCATTTCAAATTTTCTTTGGTATATATCTCCTTTAGGGTAAATTAATGGGAGCGTTTGGCTGCTGCTTTGAAATATAGTACCTAGAGCAGAAGGCTATAAAAAGTACACTGAAGTGGTTTTGCATCATCTGAAAATCAAGTTGACACTATCACCAATATGATTCTCGCTTAATAGGTCTGTGAATTCCAAACTGCATCAGTTCTACAAATGGTAAAAATTTGCTAGCTGCATTATTACCATTGATACGTATAGGATGTTTTCCACTAAGAGAGAAAGGAGCCATGAGACTCATGATTTTCTATTCTGCAGAAAGGCATAAATCCTTCACAGGATTGAGAACTTACAATGAAATTGTACATTATGAATTCAAAAGGCTTAAAAGTCTATCCATAGAATATTGCAGAGATTTACTCTCATGATTCACAGATTTAATCCATGCAATTTCAGCAATATGGTTTTTTGTTGGTGGTGGTGGTGGTTTTGTTTTGGTTTTTGTTTTGCAGTAATATAGTCACATTCCATAAGGGAAGGTGGGAATAGCTACAGTATGTGCAGCATTTAAGTATGAGGGAGCTGTTATTATAGTTAACTAATACTTTATGGAAGTTCAGTATGCTTCAAATGCATATGCCACTGCTTTAATGAATAGTAGAATCAGCCATATATTCTTCACGGCTGAAAAATTAAGGGTTTGCAGCAGCAGTTCAATGTAGGTAAAATTGAGTTTACCCTTTCTCAAAGGGTAAGACCAAAATAGTTCTTCCTGGAATACATTGTCTCCAAAGCAGATAACACATGAATTTGTAGTATGAGAAAGGTTCATTCAGGAAGATATGGGAGATGTTAGTGATAAAAAAAATTGACTCTGTGGGTACAGTGAAGCTTTGAGAGTCACTCGGGTGACTCTGATGGAGAAACTGGAACGTGCTGGTAGTGACTTAGTGACTTTTAGTGTCATTTCCCTCAGTAGCAGCTATCACTATGCTCAATTTTGTTCATCCTGTGCAGGGTTCTTCCAGCCTGCCTTAATATCAGAATGGTGATCCACATGTCTCCCATTGCACTTTGTATTGACTGTATAATTAAGGACACTGACATTTTTACTTGAAATGCTCTCTTTGGCAATAGGAGTCTGTTCCCTCTTTGCAGGTTGTCACTGCCCACTCTTTCACATTCTGGGTTCTCTGCATCTGAGAACTCTGCTGTTTTTATGGTGGTAGCTGGTTGCCCATCTAGCTGCTCTCTGACTCCTCCTAAGCAGGACAAAAGGATAAAATGAGTTGGCAAAGTTCATGAAGATGTAGAGGGGGAGATCATTTACCAATACTCTCACAGAAAAAATCTGGCTTGACTTTGGGAATAATTATTTTATTACCAATTAAAAATAGAGTTAGAAATGACAAACCTTTAACATCTTTCTCCAGCTTACCTTGTTACAAAGCTCAGCTTCATTCCTTCATTCTCACCTTCTCTTCCTTCTCCCTGGCCATGATTGACGTAAGGTAGATAAGGAATGGGGGCTGTGGTCACTTCATAACACTTCATTTCTGCTGCTCCTTTCTCCCCACAATTTTCCTCTGCTCCTGCCACAATCTTGCTCCAGTGTGGGCTCTCTACAGCTTTCTGCAATAAAAAAGATCCATTTTAAGACCACGGAGATCTGCTTATAACCAAGGCTCAGATGCAAGGATAGGTCTTTCACTGGCTGCAAAAAAAAACCAGTAAGGACCTGTAACATGATTTTTTCCAGCTGAGTTCCATGCCTAGGTGGGACAAGGGAGAAATGAAACTCTAACATAAACCTAAAAATTCTAGACAGATTGGGAGGTTGGTCTAAGCGTAGTCACAGGATCTTATGACAGAGATGATAGCATTGTTCCTTTGAAGTGCAAAACTTAGGAGTAAATTACCTACTATTATCAAATTTTAGTGAGATTTTTGAAAGGCAGAAAAGCAATTTTGGGTTCAGGCTATTAGAAACATTTCCAGCCAAAAGCCTATGACAACCTAGGGCAAGCTTGTTTTACATTTGCATACTCAAAATTTCCCAAATTTATCTTAGATTCCATTTGCTACTTTCAAACCCTGCTATTTAGGTACAGTGCATACAGTACTAATACAATACTCTCCATATATAGAGAGAGTCACAATTAAATGTGTTTATTCAATGTGTTGAAAAGAGAGGAATAGGGTACTGGTTACTAGTTTAAATAGAAAAACAAAAAAAAAGATGTATAATTCACATTGAACATTTTTTTTTCATATAAGCTGAATTCTAAATAAATATGACTGTTATTTTTATACTTTTGAATTGTTACAGGGAGGTTGACAAGTGAATACTCTGAAAATTGTTTTTGTCATTTCAGGAAAATTTATGAAATTATGCCGTCCTATTTCTTTTCTATATTTTCATGCAGGTTCTTCAAAGTGTAGTTTTTATCATTGCAGGTAAAATGAAAATTAAGAAACATCAATTTTCCTATATTTTGATATAGATTTATTTTAGACGCCTTATATTGTTTTATATGTATTTTAGACTTCAGCTTTTTGTGTATTCATAGCAATGTTCTGCTAACCTTCAGAATCACTCCAGAGAAAACTGTATTTTTTCACTACAAAATGAGTTGTAATTGCCAGAAACCAGGGAACAAACTATGATTCAAAACTAAGACAGCAATGGTAAACGTCTCATTAATATATATCTTCAATCCAAGAGAAATAGTTCAAGAAATTGTTTCAGTTTCCAAGTGAGAAGTTTTTGTTGAACAGGTTTTTCGTTGTTTAGATGCTGTGGTTTTTTTGTGTTATACAATGATAACACAAAAACATTGTTTTTTTTTTTTAATTGTTTAAATTGATACACAGTCATCTATATATTGATTCATTAGACTCGGAGAAGAGCCACTAAAAGTAACTGTCTTCCTGTAACTGAAATCTGAGAAAAGCTGTGGGCCTTAGAAAGGAGAAGTCTACTTAGGACATTTGTAGACTGATTAACTTCTGTTCATCTAATTTCAGGTTATTCCAGAAGATTCATAAAACATAATTTCATTACTTGTCTTAGAGTCTTTTCTTTTTTTTTTTTTTTTAATGTGAGAACCTGGCAGAATGCTCTATTGATCTATTTTTTAATGAGTTCTCTTTCACTAGAAACTAAACATCTTCTTTTCAATAGCGAACAAAAAATTTTTGATATTATATTTACCAGTGCAATAGCCATAGCTAATTTAGTTATAGTTAATGGAGTTCATTAATCCTGTATAATTCTTTCTTTTTCTCTCAAAGGTACTGCACTGAATAGCATACACTTCAAAATATTTCATTGATGAATTTCAGTAAAATTCTGCATTTGCACTTTAGCCTCATTTATAGTTTATGGAAACTGTCGTTTATTGCTCAAGGAATAAAGTCTTGCATACTCACACTCAAGAATAATTTTTTTTAAAAAAAAAGAGCAAGCGAAGAAAAAAAATACACGCATAGCAGTGAAATTATTCATATGTTTTGTAAAAGAAACTATGCAGTTATTGGTATCCATTTTTATCAGTTTGGACTATTCACTTTTGTCACTTTTGTTTTTCTTTCATAAATTCCTCCCAAATACGGAGACACATACTGAACTTTCAAACACCCCTACCCAAATGAAATGTTTGCTGAGAAAAGCAGCCCTCTGCTGTCTTCAAACAATCAAAACAAAAGGATTTAAATGTTTCACATAACATACAAAGTTTGGCATTTAAAACCATCCTTGCACAAATAACTTGCATCAATACCTTCTTGTATTAGAACCTTTCATGGAAGAAAGAGCAAAGATCACTCCATATTTTTTGAAGGGATTCATCTCAGATAAAATTTCCCTTTGGTCTATGCAATCCATACATCTTCACAGTCTCCACAGCAATGCCTTTTTCACTGAAGAATTATCTGTCATACTCCATAATTAGGTGCACTTTCACAAATATATTGTATAGATTTCTGTAACAGCACTTCATTGGTTTTGTAATCCTTTTTCCTTATGAGCAGTCACCCTTTTGTAAAACGTTCAATACTTTGGAAAACAGAAAGGTTATATGGCATTCAAGTTTCTTCTGTGGTCTTTTGAATTGTACACTGAGAAGTTTCTGCAGCTTACTGCCTATGGTTCATCTGTCCACAGATGTTTTCCTGTTGTTCACTGAGAGCTACAATAAAAAAATGTCTTTGGTGTGTGTCTCGTGCCTTAAGATGAATTAGTGATCTGATGTCTTTTTTTTACAGAGGTCTTTGTTTTTGTTGTTCCAAAAGTTTATTCTTTTCCCAATCTACCACATTAGGAGAGATTATCTTGGTCAGTGGTAAACAGAAGTTCGGCCTACATTTGGATGGGGTTCAAAGGAGTTTTTGCCGTACGAACTCTAAAGGCTGGGGAAGAGATTGATTTATAGAAACAAAACGTCATGAAGTAAGGCTAAATCCTACTTTTGATGTTTGTATCCACAAAAGGGATCTTTAAAGCCTTTTTTTCTTTTGCTGCCTAATTTGATAGGCTCTTAGCACGCACAAGACCTGTGTTTTGCTATTGCTAAAGTTGTGCTTTCATCCATATTAGAAATTGCTTCCATCTTGACAACATGGTAAAAAGACACGTGTATCCCCCACTGAGCACTCCTTGCCCAACCTAATCACTGGTTTTCACTGGACATGATCTACTAGGCCTTTTAACATTGCCCTGGCCTTGGCTACCTGTGAATTGCTGTAAAAGAATAGTCCCTGGGGCTGTCAACTTAAGTTTCAAAGCCCACCAGAGTCCAGTACTTTAATCATTAACCTGCAAGAAAATTTCTGCTTCAAGAGACTTAAATTCATATGCAAATAGACTTCTACAGTATTTTAGCAAATTAGAACTACAAATGCAATCAAGAAAGTAAATCCTAGCATAATGCACTTAATAAGTGTAACTCAAGTATTCATCATATAGATCAAAGTTGTGTGAGTCTTGACTTTAAATGAATGAAATTGCATTTCTTAGGATATTACTTTATGTTAATCTCAGGGCCTCCTTATTTTGTAGAACTTCAGTAGCCACTAAGATACAGAGAACAAGAAGCCAAACCTTTGGTAATTCTGGAAGATAAGGAAAAATTAAAGAAATTGCTAAAAATTTCAATTCTATCCATCCAAGGACATTATTCCTATTTTCCTTGTACTGACTCTCTTTCTGTGGACAATGTGATGTTCTCAAGAGATGTCCTGTTTTTGATTGATTCCTCTTTTCTAACAGGGTTTATAACAAAAAATTCTGATTTCTCTCTTTTTCCATATGCCTCACAGAAGTCATGAGGTACTGTGAAGCTAACATATGTTCCGTGTTCAGTGCTATCAGATATGTACTTTTTTCCAGTCTTAGCCACAAACTGAGGCAACGTTGCAAAACACAATGAGACCAAAACCAATTTAAAGTAGATCCCCTTATGCCTTTGTCATACTAATATTTTTCAGAAGATATGAGGACTATGTGGAAGCTAGTGAAAATGTAATAGAAAATGGAGATCAGATGAAAAAAAATTGGGGGGCAAATTTTCTTTTTTTTTAGGGTTACAGCCTCAAATTTCAACCATAAAATTCAAAGCTGAGCCTGAATTAGCAACTGGGTAAATTGGCGTGCCAGTTGACTGGAGTTGATCTGGTTCCCTTAAGGCCTAATAAAGATCATTATTCTCGTGAAATGTTTTGGGATCTGCATGATACTATTTCACAGAGGACCACAGGAAGGGGACCTCAAGCTTTCAATGCCTTATTATACTTACTGTTCTTTCTCAGCCCTGGCACTGTGTATCATCCTATCTTGGGATTCATATATACTCTAATAAAACTTCCCCCCAAGCCTCCCACAATAAATCCAGCAGAGTTTTTTTTACATATATATGGGTATTATATAGTACAAACTCATACATATATATAGTATACACATATATATATACATTTAAAAGCCCAGTGGTTGAGCTTTTTTTTATAGAATCTGTCAGATATGGTTTACATTCCATTATACTTGGTTCGAGTCTATCTGCCTGAAGCTGTGGGATATGCTGTTTACTGTAAAGGAAGTGGCAACTTCTTCATTCCCACCTATGAAAGTTTGTTCACTTTGTGAATTAAACAATTAAACTGAAACTGTATTCCATTTTTCCAAAGATAATATCAAGTCTGTCCTAAGACTTGTCAAACAGATTCATGGAGCATAGGATGTTTTGCACAAATGTATGCAAGAACTTCTTTATGGTGAGTGTGATGGAGCACTGGCTGCCCAGGGAGGTTGTGGAGATATTCAAGACCTGCCTGGACACCTACTTGTGCGACCTGGTGTAGGGAACCTGCTTTGGCCGGGATTTTGGACTCGATGATCTCTGGAGGTCCCTTCCAACTCCTACAGTTCTGTGATTCTGTGATTCACATTCTGTGTAAAACTGGAGTTTTAGATTTGAGAGCATTTTTAGTACCTGTACTGAGAATCAAAATAAAACAAAAATTTCAAGGTTAATTTGGTAGAAAAAAAAATCTTTTCATGTGTTGTCATTTAAAAAATTTACGTATGGTTTCGGACTAAGACGTATTACTCACATTAATCACAATGTCTTCTAATTCAC